ATTCTTGTGATCGATTTTGTTCGATTTAGAACTCAACCAATCATTGTCACCAACAACTTCTGTTGCTAGTAGTCGATCCGATTTAACATCAAAACAAAAAAATAAATCAAAAAATTCTTCAAAATCAACATCAGGTACACATCGAGGAGTATCTCATTCGATTGATTTTAATTTAGGTAAAAGAATTATTTCTGATGTTTTATTGTTTATTTATTTTCGAATATATATTTTGTTAATTTTACAAGATAAAAAATTTAATGATTCTAATCATAGTCTTGATGATGCAATTGATAATCAATTAATCATGTAAAACAAAATAGATAAATGAAAATATTTATGAATTATTTTATTTTTATTTGAATATAGTCAAAAAATTGTTTGTCAATCACTTGAAGTTACTAATGAACGTTTAAAAAAACAATATCAACAACTACTTAATCATTGTGATCTTATGCATATTTTAAGTCAATATTATATAGAAGAAGTAAGATGATATTGAAAAAATAAATGAGATGATTTTAATTCTTTTGTTATTTGTTAGAATGAACAAATAAAACAAAAATATGAATTAAAACTATTGAAAAGTATGTTGTTATTATTTTTTTGTATTTATTAATTTTTTGTTTAATTAGTTCAAACAGCACATAATCAATTAAAAGTGAATTTTCTATTCATTTTTTTTTTGTATTCATAAAAAAAAAAATATGAACTTATTGATTAGATTTTCATTGAACAATCACAATCATCTTTTAAAAATGAATTAGCTACATTAAATGAACAATATCAAAATCAAATTAATATAATAAAAGAAAATTCGAAGGAAAAATTTCTTGAATATCAACAACAGATGAATAAATTATTAGTAAATAAAATACATTTGTTATTGTTTTACTTTTTTTTTTTTGATGAATAGAATGAAAAAAATGAATTTGAAACTCGTTGTGTATCGTTACAAGAACAAGTTGATAGATTTATGGAAGAAATGGCAAATAGTGAACATGCAGATCCATTATTACGTCGTGTTGAAACACTTGAAAAAGATAAAACAAGTTTACAAACAGTACTTGAAATAAAAAGTCAAGAATTGACACAATTAAGAACTAAATTTAATGAACAAGTATTTCAAGTATTAAAAATAAATTAAATTCGATTTTTTTTTTGCTTTCATATTCTATTGAACGGTGTTTTTTTTTGTTGCTTCTAGCGTGAAGATCAATTAGCATTACAAAAACGTATTGATATGGCTGAAAATCGAAATCAAGATCTTGTATGTCTTCTTCGAAATTGGCAATTGAATGAAAAGTAAATTAAAATTCATTATTTAACTATTCAAATATTTTATTAGAAATACATATATAATATAGATTTTAGTTTAAATTGAAATTTGAGAAAGTAGAATTATTTTAGATGTTGCAAACTCAGTAATTTCTAAAGAAAAGCATTGATCAAGAGTGGAATAACTTTGATGATATTCATCGAAATCTATCTGTTATGAGTATACTAAATATGGAAATCAGAAATATAGTATTTATAAATGAAATGTCTATATAGTAGATATCAAAATATTGTATCTGTAATTTTTCGGGATATATAACAATATTAACAAAAATCGATTGTATAAATTTTTTGTTTTGAAGAAGTTGAAACAATAATACAAATATTGAAAGTTTTGATTCTATTGAATATTTTATTATTGTTAGTATTCAATTATCAAATTAAGTATATTATGCTTATCTATGTCATAACTCTTTCTTATTATTTTGCTTATATTAAATATTTGCATTATATGTATATACTTCAAAATTAAAATAAGAAATCAAATATGCAATATCATTGACTAAATCTTTTATTATGTAACAGAAGTTTTTATATTTAACTTCAAAAAAAAAAACAAAATTGAATATTTTTTTTAACAATACAATATTTATTATATTTTCTAGAGCTGTTGTTGTTGAACGTGATCAATTAAAAGAACAAATAGCACAATTAGAACGAGATAAACAACAATTAATATTTGAAAATGAAACTTTAATTTATAGTTTACGTCAACGATCTATATCAATGTCATTAACACCAACATTAAAATCGAACATTAATTCTTATTCGATACAAAGACTAAACAATCGAGCACATAGTTTTTCATCAATAATTATACCAACTATTCGTGAGAAAGGACATCTTACACGATCATTATCATTGAACTGTATTTTAAATCGGTGATTTTTTTTTTTTGTTTTTTATTCTAATGTGAGAATGAATGTCTTATCTGTAGATTTGAAATTCTTTTATTGGTTTTTGTTTTGTTTTTATTTCCATTAATTTGACAATATTAAGTATATATATATATATATTCGTGTGATAATTATTATTTACAATTTTTTTTTCCTTTGTTATCATTTTTAATTTATATAAGTATAAAACATTTGCTGGAATTTGTATTTGTGTGTATTTAATTAAAAAAAGAATCTTTGAATTATTTTGATTATTATTATAAATGATTTATTTGAAGTATGTGTATATGATTATTATTTTTATGTACTTCAGATTTCAGTCAATTGAAGATATATATATGACTGTTCCTTTTGTACATTTATTAAACTTTTGGCTAAGATACAAAAATCAATCGAATTAAAACTAATTTAGTTAAATTTTAAAGATTTCATGAATGAGATAGTCCATAGCAAATAAATCATTGTGAAAAACTTTAATAAAAAAACTTTTTTATTTTATTTTAAGAAAAAATACTAGGTAATTTGTAGAAATTCATAATGTACGAAATAAAGATCATCGTTTTATGTTTGAATAAGAAGAATTTTAACTAAAGTCAAAGCGACGTTTCAAAGAGGTTTGATCGGAATCTATAGTAATAATTCAATTTTGATTACATATGTAAAGTGAGTAGACGAGATTGTATTCGTGAAGAGAAACCTCTCATCAACAGTCATACTTTAAATTCGTGCTTTTTTTAATGTCATTTTCTGTATTTTTATTTTTTTATATAATTGCTTTTTACCAGAATTGGTTTGTGTCCATCTGATTTCGATTCCACGTGATAATGACAATGGTGTGTTCAAATTAAAAAAAAGCTCAAAGCACTAACAATTATTTCTGGTAAACTCTATAAATTGCAGCTCGTTAAAAGTAAAACTGAAGATATAAGGATTACGACAGTTTTTATAAGTAAATTTATTGAAAATTCAAAAAACAAAAATTTGAAATTTTCAGTTAGTTCTTAAAAAATAATTTAAGTCATGCAATATGTTTCTTTAAAACTAATATAAGTGAATTTTTAGGAATTTAAACAATGAAAACTTGACACCTAAGATAGTGCTCTATGTGAATAATTCAAATTGAGAAAACAAACGAAATTGAAGTTTAACAGTTTTTATTTCGAGTTTATGCTAACAAATGAGAAGACACACTGCATCCAGCTACATAATAACAAAAAAATGAAGTTTTTTAAAACTATAATAAACTGAAGAAAAGTAACAAAAATCAGTGAAACATGCTGTATAGAGAAGGAAATCATGAGTTTCAATGTTGCTTCGATTGACTTGCTACATTATCTAATACAAACAATGCTGCTTCTTCCAAATCACTTATCATAGCATGAAGTTAATAAGCTGTAGTAGCAGAATTAATACAAGCACCTGCAATACCACAAGTGGCAATGACTTTTATTGCTTCTTTTGCTCCGTTTTTAACTATTTCTTCACTCGATTGAGCTAAAATGAAATTTGTAAAGCTCAAAGGAAAAAATTCCATCCGTAAGGTGTTGTTTAACTGTTCCAGTATTTTGTCACTTGTAGTGTTATATTGTTTAGTCAATGTATCCAGCGATTCGGTGTCCAGTCCTAGACATTCTTTATAATACAGGGTGTCCCAAAAGTCCCCAACAAAAGTTTTTGTAAATATCTCTTATACAATTTCAGCGATTTAATCGGTTTTTTTTATAACATGATATCATATTCTTTTAAGTTTTATTTTAATAACAAAACCGTTAACAGATACTATTTTGAACTGTCACTTTTGACTTCAATATCCAAGTGTACCCACTTTCGATTTCTAAACTAACATTTTCGAAGGAAATTTCCCGAGATACTTATTCCGACCTGAAACGTTGATCAAATCGAGGGCTCACTCAGACTAGCTTCTGTATAAAATTTTCAGAAGTTTTCGATGTAGTTTTTCTGAGATATGAATTTTTCAAAATTTAGGCGTTGGTCCATGTAACTTTTGCAAAATTTGAAAAATGCATATCTCAAAAATACTATATCCAAAAGTTCTAAAATTTTGCACAGAAGCTAGTCTGAGTGAGACTTCGCTTTGGACAAAGTTTCAGGTCAAAATTCGAAACTATGATTGTCTTTTGAAAATGGGGGTCATCATGGACATAACCCACTAAAAATTTCATATCTCAGCCAAAACTGCATAAAAGCATGAACCTTTTGGAGGTCGTTGTAGTAGAGTGGTTATGTAGCAAAAGGAAAAATATGACCTCAAAAGTGTCTAATCATCATATGGGCTCAAAAGCTTTTCATCATCTCGGGTACTCGTATTTTTGAAAAATCGAAAATGGATACATTTTGATATTGAAGTCAAAAGTGACAGTTCAAAATAGTATCTGTTAACGGTTTTGTTATTAAAATAAAACTTAAAAGAATATGCTATCATGTTATTAAAAAAACGATTGAATTGCTTGAATTGTATAAGAGATATTTACGAAAACTTTTCTTGGGAACTTTTGGGACACCCTGTACTTCAACATCATTGTGGACGTTGCTAGTCCTGTAGCAGTAGATGCACTTGGTATGAGCATTGCACCGATTAGACTATTTACTAGAGCTACTTTCCATATCTGTTGACGTAATGTTTTAGCTTTTTCACGTATAACATCTTTACAATTGACTGTAATCGATATAACAATGGCATTATGCTTCAAATCAGGATGGTCACATATCAATGACTTAATCATCAATGGAAAATCCCATTTTTCATTATCAGTAAACTTTGTACTGATTAAATAGCACAGTTGATTCATTATAATCATTAGGATAATCTTTGAAGCCATTTTCAAGATCGATATCGACTTTTGTGCGTAAAAAATAGAATTCTTTGCCAAACTTTTGCGTTTGTTCAACTAACCACATGTCATTTTCTGTGAAACGTGAAGTCGAAACAATTAGAAAGAAATCAAAATCACATATGTCAACACCATCTTTCGTTTGCTTTTTAATAATTTCAAAATATTGATCACGTGGATAAGATGGCGTTCCGACACCTGGTAGATCATAATAAATCAAACTCGGATGTTTTGGATCAGGATATTTTGTCACAGTATTTGTACATTCGACTACGCCAACTTTAGCTGCACCCGGTGATTTTGATTTTAAACCACGTAACGTGTTAATCAAACTGGATTTCCCTTTGAAAAAGAAAGATGTAATTAGAATGAATGTTTATGGTTACTATTTGTTTTAGTACATAGGAAGCTTCGTTAGTTTTTCAATCAGTATTGACATATGAAGGATTTAGATATGTGACTCAGCTCATGCTATGGATGGTACAGTCATTTATTTGCATGAGATTGAAAAAAAAAAGACTAATTATTCATGACTCTTCTTGCTTATTTCCCTTTATTATAATGTAATGATCTTGTATGTTACTTACCATGTCCGGATGAATTAGTAACAGCAATTCGTAGTGGATATTTCATCCATTGATTCAAATGATTATCTAGGAATTGCTTGTAACCTGATACACCGTGAACAGCAACATAATCCTGAAGTTCTTTTCGCTGTCCTTCAATATCTTCTTTCTTCATTGATTCGATAATTCTTGTGTTTTATCATTACCATCTTTAGTTTTTTCAAATGATGATGCCATTCTATAGTCTCTAAAACATGCAAACTAGTAAGACCAACATGTCATGCTGTACTGTTGCATATTTAATTCTCATTTTTTGCATCAGTTGAATAGTTAGTAATAAAACGAATGAATAGTACTAAGTTTCTATTTGTGATCTCCAATGAAAGAAATGAAAAATTTTTTTTGAAATATAACAAATATCTATATTGTTTATGTTTTGGCAATTTTATCCCAAAATAGTCACAATTTACTTTTTTTTTTAATTCTAAGGAAAATTCACGACTAAGAACATGTCTCTAGTGCAAACTAAAAGTCATATTAGACTTCAGATCTCTTACCTAAAATGGAATTACACTTGTAAATTTATAAATGTTGTATATTGGTTCGTAATCAAAATTGATTCTTTTCTTTCAATGGATATCACTGAAAAAATAAAGATTAAATGTCTTAAAGATTCGTTCAATACATGCAAATATACTACATGTTGGTTTATTCTCTTCAGGTTATGCGACTTCTATTTGCTCGTACTATGTATACGTTTTAACAAGTAGTAAATGATTATCTGAAAAGATGCAAAATGCAATCATTACTATTTTAGGTTGTTCTTCTAATTCAGTTATATTTTGAGATAGTTTCTTTTCTAATGTACTTTTCAAAAGAAGAGCTAGATCATCGGCAAATAAATGCATGGAAACTCGGAAAAAATATACTACTTTGGTAGAAAGTGAATATGAAGTTTAAAAAGAGTTGCTGCTAAAACTGGACCTTGTCGAGCAATTATATGTATTCTGATAGTTTTAGATCGATTCTCCGTGATATATATATATATATAGCCATAGATCGATCTTAAAACTGTCGATATATCCATTTTAGCAATAGTAAAGGTATATTCAATTCAAGCAAAAATAGCTATTAAGGCAGGATACCATATTTTATTAAAAAATGAGACACAAATCAACAAAAATTAATCAGACGAAACGATTATTGGCTGCTACAGTCACATATAAATCTTCACAGATCGACAATACTGCAGATTTATATTATAAACGGCTATTTGGTGTGAAATCTGATTGTTTATCAGTGAATATTCTTTTAGCTTTACATCGATCTTGTATTTGCTCGTGAGTATAGCGTTGGAGCCACTTCCCTACATTAGGAAGAAGAGAAATTGGTCGAAGTCAATTTTCTTCGAGGAATATGTCATCTTTAAGTATTGAACCAATTTGTTAATAAAATGGTGGCTTTGTATCGCCTATATGCTGAAGTTTTATTTTTATTTTTCCTTTGACAAGATAAGAAACAATGGAAAAAACCCACGTGAACATTATTTTTGTTTCGTCATTTTTCATAATGCAGTATTGCAAGTTAAATTTCTTTTTTTCCTTTTTTTTTATCATTTAGAACACCTTAACAGAAGAACATATCAAGGATAACTTCTTCAATAAAAATGTGTTATTCGTATGAGTTAATAGATAAATTTTGTGTCAAATTAGTAACAAGAACAAATGCTCGATTATGACACATACATTGATAAGAAAGCAAAAACTAGGAAACTTGAATGTGTACGAGCTACATGGACAGACTTAATCCCACTGGTTTATTGAAACTTAAAACTAATATTCATAATCAAAAATGATTTGCTAAAAGTACGACTGAAAACATTCTGAAAATTCTGACAGGAAAATTATCGTAAATTGAATGATTAGCTCATGTCAATTGATTGTATCTAAAACACGGACTTAAATACATTGTCATTAGAAAACACGCGTCTAGACGCAATTTTTTAAAATAAAAAGATACACTTTTATGCGTATTTTCAACAAAAAAAAAAAAGGTTTCAATGTTTGTTTTAAAAGCGCATTTAGCTTTAATTTTCAAACAACCAGTATCTATACAGGATGTAGTTTGTGTTAAGCATAGATACGTTCACGCCACACTCTAGGCTAGGTAAAAATCTCAGATTCATAGAATGCTTTGAAAGATTCTAGAAAGTTCGAGAATTATCAAAACCCTATTATTACTAACGCGCCTGCTTCTATTGCTAGAAATATGTATCCAGCGATCGTTGGCTTCTCTTCAGGTTGCTACTTTTTTTTTGAGAAATACTGCTTTGCTACTACAATAATTTAATTTTCATTTTCTTTTTCTGCTTTCATTCTATACATTTCTATTTAATGTTCTTTTTTTTTTTCATTTCTTCTGTATTAGGAGATTTGACAACATAGAAAAACAATAGCTGAGAACGTTGCAATAGACTGAAAACATCATTCGATAGTATATAGCAAGAATTCTAATTTTCTATTTAGTAAATTTTGAAATAAAAACAAGTCTAATCAGTTTTTATTCAAAAATGAATACTAAAATCCAGAATAACATTCTTCGTAAATATTTAATCAAAAAGTATTTATTAGATTAATATACGACCAAAAAAAAAAACAATTTAATTTAATACATATGTTCTAATTCATTTATAACGAATGAATGTCAAGAAAAACGTACTAAATAACAATCATATGGAATTGATTCAAAACAGAAAACATTAACCAAATATTTTCGTTCGATTAAAATACAGAATAAGAAAAACAAAAAAAAAAAGAAAGTATTTCGTCTACTTTAATCTTATTGAATTGCAACATGTATTGTTTTCTATAAGTTACACATAAAATAATATGTTTAAAGATCAATAAATTCTATTATTGTACATAAAAAAAAATATTCTTCAATCATGATTTCTTTTTATTTATTATTTATCTTTCTTTTTTCTTTAATGAAATTTATTTTTATGGAAAAATCACCTTTTTATTTAACATTTAATTATAATGATAAACAAATAATCAATAAAAATTTTACAATAACAACTGAATTATATTATGATAAACGTACATCAATTAATTGTGAAAATAATCAATATAGATTATGTCTTGTTGAATTATCATTACAAATACAATCTGATATAATGTCAATAAAATTTTGGTGTCAACCACCAGCATTTTTATTTGAAGATTTTAATCAATTTTCAAGATTTCATACTTGTATACTACCTATAATTGATGCTACTCAACAACCATCTATAACTATGATAATTAATTCATATGATATAGGAAAAATTATTCCATTAACTATAGCTAATTTTACTTATTTACCAGAATATTATATTGAAAAAAATTCTGAAATACCAATTTTGATTTTCGTAAGAATTAAAATTTTTACTTTTCTAGTATTTATATAAGAAGTTTTTTATTTGTTTATAGAATAATGAAAATCTTCTTTCAAGAAATGTTCGTTATGTAGTGAGTGAAAATGATGATGCTATTGAAAGTGAGCTTGATGATCCTGATTGTATAATGGAAAAAATAAATCGAACTAATGGTAAATATATATATATAAAATCATATAATTACTTACTAAATACAGTTCCGCCGTAGTTTATTTTGTTTATTTTCAGGATATTCAAATCAAGATGATCAATCTAAAGATGATGAAGTAAGCAAAGAATTTTATCAAATTTTTTGAAATAGATACTTTATTTTTTTTTTCTCAGCCTGATGAAACTGCTGTACCTGTTGATTTTGCATCTGTAAGTTAAATGATTAAATAAAGATTCTGAAATTCTATTTATTGAATATTCAGAATAAATTAAAATTATTTTATTCAAATTTAAATCTGATTCACGAGGGAATTGGAAACGACTAAATAAACTTACAAACTTTGTGTCTAAAATTGTTTTATACAGCAGATATATATCAACATTTCAATGTGAAAATTTTTTTTTAAGATTATATTATTTTACTTAACACTCACTTTTGAAAAAGAGAAAACACAAATCGATATGTTCTATAATCGGAATAGATCAAAAATGATTTTGTCAAAATATGTATTATCCTGAGAAGCTAGTCTATGAAAGTTTCAAGACGCTTTTCCTAGCTTTCATAGAAAAAAAATGATTGATTAGTTAAAAGTATTCCCTCGTTAGTAAGACATGCGCTCAAATCCATTTAAACTTTGATCAATCTCACGATATTTTCTTAAAAATTCATAATTTAATATATCTATTTTTGTATATTTTAGGACATAATACCAGGTTTGAAAAAAAACGTTCAAGATTGTTTTTTTTTAAATATCTTTTGTTTTTTTTTCTATTAAAAGAGGATGATCGTAATCAACCGATAGGTGAATATGATGATTCATTAGCAGTCAATTGTACTGCAGGTGGTCCACTTTATGGTCATCCAAATGTTGAATGGATTCGAGTAGCTAATGCATCACATTTTATAATTGATCAACGTATTAATCGTAATGTTGATCCTGATAGTGATGGTATTGATTTTCCTAAAATGGATACATATATATTACAAATACGAATGATACCATATGTATTTTTACAATATGTTTCTGTGCCAGCAAGTAATGTTATTTTATTATATGTTGTGGTTCATTATGATTCTGGACGAAGACATAATGCTTATCATTCAAAAGTTGAACAAAGTCCTGTTGTTGAAAATTTTTTAGCTAAAGAACCAACAAGATTTTTTGAAGTATATCTTAATGCAACTGATGATGGTTTACCACCTAGTGATGTTACATTAGATATTGTATGTAGTAATTATTGATAATTTATTTATAATTATTTATATTTTATTTTAGGGTTATTGTATAGCACCAAAACATAAACATCCGATTGTAAGTAATCATATTTTTGAATAAAATTTGTTGAAATAATTATGAAAAATTTTCTTATATTAGATTGTTGATTCAGATAGTTCGTCCGATCTGTTGACTGGAACAATTGATGTTGATGTAAGTTGAAAATTTATTTGATTTCATAAAAAAAAAAACAAAGATTGTTTTATTTTAGGCTAACGTTGGTGGTTCAATATCTTCATTGGTTCCTAAAACAGTAAGATGAAGTAAAATTTGACAGTTTTGAAAAAAAAAAGCTTTGTTTTTGATAGATCATTAATCCAAGTGTAGCGTCGGATACTTTGATACCATCACAAAGTCAGCTAGACACTGTCGATGTTAGTGTAAGTTAAAGATATGTTATTAGGTGAAAAAATGAATAATAAATTCAAATTTTCGTTCATAGATTAATGTTGCTCCTGTAACTCAGCCAATAGTCGTTGATGAAGCACACATACCATCTATTGTAAGTTCGATACGCAATCAAGCTTAAGGATGTGTTTTTTTTTTTCATAGAATTATGAAGCTCAAGAACCAACGAGTGTACGTAAACCCTCCGATTCTCTTGTTGAAACAGTAGATGTTAGTGTAAGTTACATCGATATCAGTTAATTACAGATCACCGTATAGATTTTTAATATGTGGTTTTCAGGTTAGTAGTAGTGATTCTGGATATGTACCATCAGAAACTCGTGTATGTTGTCTTTTGTTTTTTATTTGCTCTTCTATCCTCAAGTTTCAATAGGGAGCCGAAGAAAGTTCACCTTCACTACAAATCCTTTCTCAAGTACCAGTAGTCCAAATGGTAGATAATGTTGATACGTCTTTGGCAGTAAGAGTTGTATAAGAAGGTTATTGTGAATATTTCGTTTGCTTTAGATTAATAATCAAGATGAATTAAACGATATGCAAGTAAAATCGCCAGCACTTGTTGCTACAATTGATCTGAGTGTAAGATGTTTATCATCTTTGCATATTATAAATTTTCCAATTGATTAACATTTACAGGTATCTGGTGATCTTTCAAACAAACCGTACTCAACAGATGCTGTCTCAGTACGTTAAACTGATACTTACTTATTACTGATTGAAAGTAGAGCATCTGCTTTCATGTAGCAATGAGCTGGAATTATATTTACTTTAAACAATTATCAGAATATCTTTTCAATAATTCTAGAAGCAGTTTAAAAAAAACTATTTCATTTTTGTAGTCACCATCACTTGTATTCAATGGTTTACTACCAATGACGACATCACAAGTTCCAGCAAACTATTTTTGTTATAATAATCTTCAAATTGTTGGCAATATCAATGTACAAAATATATTTCATATCAATAGTCCACAACAAACTCCCATCTCTGATATTATCAACTCACAATCGGAATCAACAGTAAATATTCTATAGTCTTTTACTATCCAAACAATACTTTTTTTTTCGTAGGGTTATTCATTTTCATCATTTCACTATCCTTATCATACGATAGTCATTAATCTACGAGTTAATATCTATGTTCATACACTTACACTTGGACCACAATCTAATGTACAAAGATATGGTTTACGATTATATAATCCTTTGAGAAATGTTGATGATACATATTATTCATCAATAATTCCTGGATCGAATAATCAACCAGCTATAGTTGGAATTCCATTAGCGAAAGTTGCTATTCGTTTATATTTGAATTTATATACAACAAATGATGGTAGACCACCAAGTAATATTAAAATTATGATTGTAAGCTATTTATGCTAAGAAAAAAAGAGAAAGGAATGTGATGTAAATGATTCTTGTTAAATGTTTATAGAATGCTTGTTTTGATTTATCATCGATAAGTAGTGGAAGTAGTCCAATGATAGGTGGTCAATACTATCGTAGTCCAAGTATTTCACAAATTCCTACAGGAATACAACAACAACCTTATGTAAGTGATTATTTTAGTATTTAAAGGGTAATATCAATTGATGAATTACTGTTTTTTTTATAAAATAGTATGAAAGTCCTGTTGATTCAGGAATGTCAATGCCTATGATGAATGTCGCCCAATCAAGCAACATCGTTGGGACTGTCGATGTTTCAGTAAGTTTAATATATATGTTACCGTTCTTCATTAGAATCTGCATTTGAAGGTTAATAGCATACCATCAAGCTCTGGTCCTCTTGAAACTAGTGATGGTAGAGGTGTTTCTCCTAGTCTTCAAGTATCATACGTAAGGACACTACCTATCATCACTGTTAATCTTAATCATATTTTTTCAAGGATACAAATGTTGAGTCGATGGCAGTTAATAATATAGCTCCATCAATAACAATGCTAGTTGATGCTTCTAGCAATGATCCTAAAGTTTGTTTATAATCTAAGAGTTGTCCACTGATATCAACTATTTTTAGAATATTGCCTATGATAGATCGATTGGTATGCAAACACCATCACCATCACTCACTGAATCTCTTGATATTAATGTAAGTCATCAAAACTAGTACCTTGATTTATAGTATTGACTAATTTGTCTATATTTTTATTCGTAGGTTAATATGGAAGTTCCAGCAATACCGTCATCAGACAGTTATTATTCGGTAAGTTAGCATTATTGTTTCTTAAAATAATTAGTATTCTCAACCTTCCATTTATGTTATAGTCAGCTGTTGAACAACCACGTTCACCGACCGTGTCCTATTATTCAAGTTTAGTATTATCCGTAAGTTTGGCATTTCACTCATCCTTACATATAGTAGTTTTCATCATAGTAAAGAAAGACCTTTGACTTTAAACTAATTAGTAACGTGTCTTTGTGATACCTATTTTCAACAGAATACATAGTATCGTAAGCAGTATTTATGAACGAATTTTATATTTGGTTTTGCAGCAACCATCAAATGTATTAAATAATTTACCATCAATGACGACATCACAAGTTCCAGCAAGCTATTTTTGTTATAATAATCTTCAAATTGTTGGTAATATCAATGTACAAAATATATTTCATATCAATAGTCCACAACAAACACCTATCTCTGACATTATCAACTCACAATCGGAATCAACAGTAAATATTCTATAGTCTTTTACTACCCAAACAATAGTTGTTTTTTCGTAGGGATATTCATTTTCATCATTTCACTATCCTTATCATACGATAGTCATTAATCTACGAGTTAATATCTATGTTCATACACTTACACTTGGACCTCAATCTAATGTACAAAGATATGGTTTACGATTATATAATCCTTTGAGAAATGTTGATGATACATATTATTCATCAATAATCCCTGGATCGAATAATCAACCAGCTATAATTGGAATTCCCTTAGCAAAAGTTGCTATTCGTTTATATTTGAACTTATATACGACAAATGATGGTAGACCACCAAGTAATATTAAAATTATGATTGTAAGTTATTTGTGCTAAGAAAAAAGAGAAGGAAATGTGATGTAAATGGTTCTTGTTAAATGTTTATAGAATGCTTGTTTTGATTTATCATCGATAAGTAGTGGAAGTAGTCCAATGATAGGTGGTCAATACTATCGTAGTCCAAGTATTTCACAAATTCCCACAGGAATACAACAACAATCCTACGTAAGTAATTGATTTGATCACTTTCATGTATTAACAATTTGTGAATTGGTTTTCTTTTTATCGATAGATTGGAAGTTATAATGCTCCAGCATTGTCAGGACCAGGTGTTTCAAGGGAAAATATTGTTGAAACTGTAAATATTGTAGGAAGTATCGATTCGAATGTTCGTACACCATATGTAAGTGATTCGATATGCACTCATAGTTGTCGTTATCAGTAGCTTTTCTCTTGTGTTTCGAAGGATGAAAGTGGTAGTTCGTCTGCACAAAATAATAATGCTCCGGATTTAATAATTGCAACTGATTCTGTTGACAGCGGTCCAATACGATCGGAACCATTCATTGCAAATGTTGATGTTAATGTAAGTTAAATAGATATGATATGCAGTTCAAAGAAAAAAACACGCATCGAATTTGAATGTATTTTAATTTTAAGGTTGAAATCAGTGAATCATCTGTGCCATCAATGCAAATGCAATATCCCGTATATAAATAATGTTTGTTATTTTTTTGTGTTTATTGATTTATTTTGTAGAATCTTCCTCAAACAATGCTCACTTCTGCTATATCTCATTATCATAGTCCAATGCTACAGGTAAATACGAATGAATTGAATCTTTTAATTAGACAGTTTTATATTATTTTTAATACATTTGAGTTTATACCTCGGACATAAACAATCGTGCTAATATTACCGGTCTGATTTTTATGTTCACTAACTGTTTAAAAAAATTCATAATCCAATTTTATCTAATTGTAATTCGTTATTTTAGTCAAAATTTTTGTAAGAATCTACACAGCGAGCAACTATGCATACTTTACTTTTAAACGAAAAAACTCATGTGAACTACAGTTCAGGAAATATTCCTTCGCAAAAGTTAATCCATATTCTAAGTCTGATGACGAATGCAGTCAGGATTTTGCTTTAAAACTTTATTGTTGCTTTATGGATTGCAAGAAAATTTAAAAATAAATGACTGGCAGTGAATGATACAAAATAACCTTCCTCTTCTTTTCGATAATGAGTTCAGCTTCATACTGAAATTTGGTTTTTCTTCAGTCATCATCAAATGTACTGAATAATTTGCCATCAATGACGACATCACAAGTTCCAGCAAACTATTTTTGTTATAATAATCTTCAAATTGTTGGTAATATCAATGTACAAAATATATTTCATATCAATAGTCCACAAGAAACTCCCGTCTCTGATATTATTAACTCACAATCGGAATCAACAGTAAATATTCTATAGTCTTTTACTATTCAAACAATCTTTATTTTTAATAGGGTTATTCATTTTCATCATTTCACTATCCTTATCATACGATAGTCATTAATCTACGAGTTAATATCTATGTTCATACACTTACACTTGGACCTCAATCTAATGTACAAAGATATGGTTTACGATTATATAATCCTTTGAGAAATGTTGATGATACATATTATTCATCAATAATTCCTGGATCTAATAATCAACCAGCTATAATTGGAATTCCATTAGCAAAAGTTGCTATTCGTTTATATTTGAACTTATATACAACAAATGATGGTAGACCACCAAGTAATATTAAAATTATGATTGTAAGTTATTTATGTTAAGAAAAAAAGAGAAAGGAATGTGATGTAAATGATTCTTGTTAAATGTTTATAGAATGCTTGTTTTGATTTATCATCGATAAGTAGTGGAAGTAGTCCAATGATAGGTGGTCAATACTATCGTAGTCCAAGTATTTCTCAAATTCCTACAGGAATACAACAACAACCTTATGTAAGTGATTATTTTAGTATTTAAAGAGTAATATCAATTGATGAATTACTGTTTTCTTTTTTATAAAATAGTATGAAAGTCCTGTTGATTCAGGAATGTCAATGCCTACAATGGATGTCGCTCAGTCAAATAATATTGTTGGAGCTGTGGATGTCTCAGTAAGTTTGTCATTTCTGAGTGCCTAACGAAAGTTTCGATGTAGGTCATCGAGTTTAGTACCTTGTAGAATTACCAGTAGTCGACTTATTTATTCTGAATGCTCCTAGGAATAGTTTTATACGATCTTCATCTGTTATTAAGAATTCTTGCCATAATGTTTGTTCTAGATTATCGATTCAAGTTTATCAACTAGTAATCGCGTACCATCACCACCACTGATAGCAACAATCGATATAAGTGTAAGTTATATATTTAAATAATACTATTTATTTTGTTTCAATTTATTTTAGATGGTGAGTTCTATCAAAATCACTTAGATGAATTATTTTCTTTTATGATAAATATTCATATAAGTGAACTGTTTCTAATTGTTCTTATCTATAGGAAACTGTTGGTCGACAGCCTGGTTCATTTGGACCGGTATGTTATTTGTTAAATTATTCCTCATTGTAGTGATTAATATAAAACTTTGGAGTAATGTTTTTGGTTTTTTTTTTTTTATGAATATAGAAAATAGTGAAGATTTTATTTATTTATTCATCTTGTTTAATTTTTACATAGATGCCTTCACCAAACAAACCAGTACCATTTTCTCGTACACCTGGTCAATGTTTTGATCAAATTCTTATTATCGGTGGTTCACATATAACTATGATTCGATCACGCAATCCTGCACATCAAGTCGTTGGACCAGAGATAAATTTTGGTGGTACTGGTTATACATTTTCATCACCAAGTGATACTTATGAATTTGAAGTACATTTTGCTCAACCATTCACAATGAAATATATATTTATACCATCTTCGGCTAATGTAGAAAGTTTTAAAGTAGAAGCTTCACATGCTGGAATGTTAGGTGTATTTACTTCTACGAATACAAAAGATGGTTTAGTTGTAGATGGTTTTCCAACAATGCTAGTTTCTATGTTAGTAATTACAATCATTCATACTACTGATGGATACTTACCAAGTCATATTACACTTAGTATTGTAAGTGAAATAATATGTTTTAATTAATATAATATTAGTGAAATTAATTTCATAGGGTGTCTGTAATCCAATTTATTCGCCATCGAATGTAAGTATAATGAAGTAGAGATTAGAACAAGGAAGATTCTTTACTCGTCGCCTTGAGATCCAACTTGTCCCTAAATCAATAATATACATTTTACGAATCAAATACTTCAGTTATTCATAAGTGAATAACGTCTCGTTATAATATATGAACTATTTTTCTATTGTATTTCTGAAGGATAAAGCACTCTTTTTGTGATTAGCAACATCAGTTACATTGTGTTTCAAATATTTTTCCTAGGAAGGTAATGAAGCTCCTGAAATGACTGATTGTACACCTCAATTACGTTTACTTGGCAATCCAAAACAAGTAACACGAGTCGATATTAAAACTGCAACAATGCATATCAAACCTAATAATTTAATTAATCCAAATCAAGATGGAATGGATTTTCTTACAACAGAAGAATATATAATTGATATTGTATTGAGTAGAACAATGTCAATAGATTCTATAACACTTAATCCTTTAACTAATGTTGATAGTTTTAAAATTCAATGTCATAATTCTCATGGTTATTATCTTGAAATTAAATCTATAATTGGTTCGAAAACTATTAATGGTCTTGCTAATACACAAGCAAATTTAATAAGAATTATTCTTCTTGGTACAGAAGATGGTAATCCACCTAATCATATATCAATTAAAATAGTTAAGAGAGATTTTTTTATTTATTAATTATTAACAAAGGAAAAAAACAACATTCTTTTTTTCTTTTCTAAACCTTAGGCTGCTTGTATTCCAACAAGTTTACCAAAAATTATGAGAAGTCCATTCAAACATGTATAATAAATATTTATATTTTATAGATTTCTATTCAATTGTTTTTTTTGTTTTTTAGGAACTTATAACCAAACGAAGAAAACCATCGAAATTAAATGTAGGATATATTTATTATCAAATATACGATCAATACACGAGATCAATACAGAACTATAAAAAAAACAAGTATTTTCTATTTTAGAAAAATCGTTTTGATGTTCTCGAAGACCAATTGACAATGACATATACAGTAAGTAGAATTACTCGAGATGTACAATCGTATTTGATATTTCTAACAGGAACAACAAGTTCCAATATCAGAAGAACAATTTCAACTTGACTCACAATCACCAACATCTGTACAACTAACAGCAAACGTTGATGTACGTAAGAATGGTTTCTATATAAGAAAATTTTGATTATAATGCAAAATTTCAATAAAGTATCATATCAATAAACTTGACATTTAGGTACAACCAATTCAAGAACCTGACATGGATATATTACCATCACCTATTCTCGCACAACCATCATCAAATATCGAATATCAACCATTAATAAACTCACAATCACAATATATACAAAATCAAATTCCAGAAAGAAATATTCAGTCACAGACAAATATAGTGGTAAGTGTTATTGTATAATTTGCCGATAGTGAACAAAATTGAAAATACTACATATTAAAAAAAGATGTATGTTTCAATGATGAATTTTATAAAAAACACAATGATACAAATTCTAAGAGCTTTTTTTCTCAATATTTTAATAAGCTTTTTATTTAGGTGGAAATAATTCAACAACCAGTGATTCAAACACAATCATCACCAATTATCGTGAGTATTGATTGCAAGAAAAACTATGCAATTCTTATAATCATTCCTGTTCTCATTTGGTGTATTGTACTCCTAGCAGACTTTTGCACCATCAAACGTGAGTTTATTCACTTTCTTGACTAGTAAAGTTGGTATGGCTGAGTGTTCACGTTATACAAGGTAGCCGAAAATCAGGACCATTCTTCCTTCCATCTTCTGTATCAGACATGAGTCCAATTTCATAGTTTTCATCAATTTAATTTTTTCCCTTCATATGTCAACTGTAAATTTTGAACAAAACTCTTCCTTTCAGCTACAAGTACAAGAAAAGATCTTGGTATCACCCATGGCAAAACCCACTACTTCATTACCATCTTATCTTACTC